AAATACATCATCCACACTGAGGCGGAACTTCATCCTAGGAAGCGCCCACTTTGCCGCTCGAGAATTCGTGAGGAATGTTGAACCACGNCAGAAACCCGCTGAAAAAGGAAAACGGTCGAGACGACTGCTGCGCACTACTGCATGTCACGCTGAACACATGGAGATAAAGGGAACCGTTAAAATTGCAGTTGTTAGGCTGAAGCAAGTTTTTCCACTAGCCTTACTCCACCATGCGCCTTTACAAATCGTTCTTCAATAAAGAAACTCTACGACCTTGAAGACGTTGAGAGGTCCTTCAGCGACTTCTTGGACTATCAGTCTCTTCAGTTATGGGGGGGAGGGCATCGCTGAACTTCTCATTAGATGGGACAAGGTAGTAACTATGACGCTACTTATATTTATGAATGAATTCCATTCCACGATGTATAAAAAGGTGAAACATAAATAATGACCACCGCTCAAGACTCTCTTTCCCGCTGAGTAAATCTGACTCAGGATAGCTTCATGTTTCGCTATGAACTACGAACGATTAGGAATGCGACCTACCTTATCACTACAGCAGGATAATAGGTCCTGGAGTAGACCGCGTAAACAGCAGATCCTTTAACGATTGCATCAGATCCACAATCTCGCTCCGGAGTAACCATTCGTTGTTGTTTGACTTTGGTTCTCAGCCTTGATATAAATTTCGAAATTTATTTCGGGTCTGGATAAATTCGAAATACAGTGTGGCGATAGCAAGAAAAAATGTACATATACTGCCCTGAGCATTGAAGTTTACATAAACGCATGTTGTAAGAAAATAAATAATTCAACGAAGAAAATTTATGAACTTAGTAAAATGATTGCTCCGATTGAATTTAGTCTTGGAAGAGAAATACCCAGTTAAATGGCTCTTCCACAGGCGTGTACACCGCCGTACTCGGAGACGCTGATCTCTTATTCTCTTCTCACGGGGAGAAACACTTGGTCGCAGCATAAGCGTTTTCGAATGCTGAATTTTAGTATGCCTTCGAAATTGCTGCACGATAGTACTGGAAACAAAGTCAAAGGGAAGAAAATATTCTCCCTTTCATTTCCATGTATAGAACAGTCGCTACGGCGTGCAAGAGTGGTGCAGTTGGTAAGGCCACGAACCTATAAGCACAACATGATGATTGTATACTCAATGCATGAGCCCATCTCGGATTTCTCATGGAATATGTCTTTGATGCTTACAAACGCTTTCACGCTTCACTTTGACTATCTTTTCCCTCACATTTGAGGAACTCGGGAACGTTGATCCAAGAACAACTATCTGACTCACTAATGACGAATGGAAGTGGCCGTTACCAAAAATTTCAAAACTCCAGCGTTAGTTTAAAGCGCCTTTTAGTGGGAACTGATTATGTGAATCCTACACTCCATTCAGGGTAACTGTTTCTTCATCTTCGCCGCTGATCTCTGAAGGGCGACAGATCGATCTGCTTGTTTCACACAGCTACAACCACATAATACATCATAAACTGCTGAAAAAAGCCAACTAGAAAGCTCACGGTCTTTCTTACTTCCCGCTGAATTCCGTAGGTGATGCTCGCTGCGATGAAACAAAACTGTTCTCCGTGCACTGGGTAGTGCATGGGTCCGGGAACTTCTCCCTTAACACGGCGTCGCACACGCCGCACCCGNAAAAAAAAAAACAGAAGAAAAAACGATAAAACCCAATGAAAAAGCAAGTCAATCAAAGAAAAATATCGCGTCCTATCGATTGGCGGGAGGCGGGGTGAGTACGGTAATTGCACTGGCATTTGCCGCATGCCGCAAGGGAGAATGCCGCAATTGGGGAGAAGTTCCGTTACCCGGTAGTGCATTTCTCTATGACGCTCGATCGATAAAAGGCTATGGATCCACTGCCTTCGCCATAAAAATGATGTTCGAAGAAGTAAAGCCAAATAAAGCTGGACGAAAACACTAGGCTGGAGACTGTTTCATTTTCGAAGTTTCATATCCTCAAAAAAGCGCATCAACTGCTTCGTTAAGCAGACTGCTCGACACAATTGTACAACACAACTGGGAAACATATACGGGACACATCAAATTCTGAATGGCCGCCATGGCGCAAGAACACTCTGCCGTGCGCTCCTTCAAATAAACTTGTGAAGGTTCCGTCTTATATGCTCTTTCAATTCGAAGAATAGCATTATAGTGGTACAACTCTATTCTTGCATTTTAGACCATTCCGAGTTGTGATGCGGGCTATAAATGTGATCTAGATCAGATATTGATCTTCCAGCTGATGTCAGTTTTTGCTTCTACACGAGCACATTTTGGGGATTCCAGGTTGTATTCTTTTGTCATTGTCAATTAACTGCAAATATGAGAACTCAAGCTGATATCACAACAAGGGCTTTAGCCAATTCCCTTCGACAGCCACTTCGACCTGTCTACCTATCATATCAGGCAAGACGATATGTCCTTCCTACAGTTCTAGCTTCAGTATTCGTCACGCTATCACGTAGATGATAGTCTTCACAAGGCCCGATCCCGACAAGATCGAACTAGAACACCTAAAGAGTCTATTACCAGTTATTGTCAAAACTGCCTAGGCTTTCACGCGGTAACTGCCGGAATACAAAGTGCTCACGTCGAGAAAAATAACAAGATTGTGATGCCGTATGAAAAGGGAGATCCGACAAAACTGGCAACTATCGCGCATTCTGCCTGATGTCTGTAAGCTACAAGCTACGCGTCAGAGTCAGATTTCGGAGACAGTGCAGCACAATTGATCACATCTAGACTGTTAACAAAGACAGAAGTATCGGGTTGCAGGGTTGCATGTCTGATGTTCATCGATTTGAATGAAGCGTCTGGTTCTGTGAAGAAGAAGCAGTAATTGAAACCCTGGACATTCAGAGCATTACTACTCATTACTTTAAGGATGATTCGTGAGTTCACGATAACTTCACGATCATTATTTCGCCATCTAGGAAGTCATTGTCAGCATCGTGTTCATAACACCGAGCATCGAGAGGGCGGATTAAGTGGTGGTCAGATCGCCAACGGTTGTGAAAGGATCAGCCAGAGACTGAACGTGATGAAGACGAAGTTCATGAGAAACGAAATGGTACCTGATTTTTACTTCAACTGGGTGAGTATCCTGGAATGCTGTAAGTACCTGTGCCTAGGTCGAGAAGTCAACATTATGAATGAATCAGCTCCAAAGTTGAAAAACGCGACGAGTAGAGAACATTTAAGAATATCGAGGAAGTGGTGGACAAACGATATTTGGCCTATCTTTTCGACGATGCAGCCCTTCCTGCTTCGCACACTTGGAGGCTTGAACTCTAAGGAAGCGAAGCGAGATCCGAACTTTAGAGCTCCGTTAAGCAGTTCACGATAATTTTGGGTAATCTAGATTATAACGAAAAATGGAAGATAAGTTGGAAAATAGTGCGATGAAGGCGAAGGGATTGCGTGGATCGGTGTTTCCAAAGTAAAAAAGGCTTCAAAAAAGTCGTAAAAAGGGGGTTGAAACCACAACAATGGAGTAGGTCGTTCGGACGAGCTATACAATGTGCCTCACTGCGTACGTGTGGGTCCTGGTGCAAATAGCAGACTATGGTAAGCAAAAATTCATTCCCTTATAAACATAAGTAAACAAAAAAACCTTAGTAACAGCAAAAATAGCTAACCATTTTCAGCCACTTGGGGTAGGAAATTAAATAAGGGGTCACGGCAGCAAAAAGGATAACAGAGGAAAAAAATAATTTGAGAACAACATCGCTTCATCACTCGGCGATCAGCTGACTGTGTCAATCTGTATCGCCTCGACACTCGTCTGACGTGACATCAATCGAGGGACGGGGAAGCTCCGCGAGCCAGCAATAGGACATTATCGTGAACTTTGCTATCAATGAACGAAGATCATGGTTGCCGTTGTTGACGCCATGAAGTCGAAAATTAGGTGGGCCGCACACGAAACCGTGATAACCTCTGGACCAGGGAAGTTACGGATTGGATCCCCGGAGTATCAAACGAGCATCGGAGTGTCAAACGAGATAGCTCGATGGTCAGACTTCTTCCTGAATGCTTCGAACGAAAGGAATGTTATGCCTCGTGTCTCTTGAGCGAGAACGATCCACTGACCACTCTGGCTTGCGAATGAAGACTGGCGCTCGCTCGAAAAAAACGATGATCAGGGGTACAACAGATGATACAGATGACCTTATGACAGAGCACAATTTCGTGATCATATGGAATATGGATCATTATTTATAACAATCTAGCCATTGGACTTCCTTTCTTATGTTTTTCTTCATTTTTCATTTATTACACTGGCATCATGAACATAGGAATCGTTGCTGTACGTCTCCTTTGTCAAAATTTAGTGCCACTGATTTTTTCAGCCTCGGTCGAATTGAAGCACATGTGAAAACTTGCACTCTTTCTTGAGAAGATTTCATTCAAGAAGCTTACCCATTTGTTGTAGTGTTGGAAAATGAGAGTTGTCAGTGCAACACTACTCTGTATTATAGCAACATACGGGACCCTTTTTGATGAATATCAACTTTGGCCATCGGTGCAAGGGTCGCGAACTCATTGAGCCCTTTTCAACTGTAGCTTACATACAGCACCTCTCTCATCGCTGGTAACTACCAGCGATGAGAGAGGTGCTGTATGTAAGCTACTGTTGAAAAGGGCTCAATGAGAAGCAGGTAGAATTTCGAAGCGAAATGGCAATATCTGATTGTATTCGAGGTCTTGCAGGCTAAGCAAATGTGCGACACACGCAACTTAATATTATTTTATAATGAGAGATATCCAGCTAGAAAAATCCTGACGCACAGGAGCCTTTCACCAAAACAAGAATCTTCTAGGATCTTGTTTAACGCCGTCGATATGGGAACTGATATCGGATGTCATTGGCTGCCTAGAGCGTGAATCTTCTTCAGGAAAAAAAGCGCACTCTTCAACGATACCATCAACTCATCATGTCCGGGTATCAGTGCAAGCGAGGAACGTCATGGATGCAGAATTTGTAGCAGCACGCTCGCAACCGGGCTTGTCGTTTTGATAGTCTGGCTTTCATTGACGTCACATCCCAACCGCAAAGAGGATTCATGAAGAATGAAGGCTAATAGGTATGGCCACTCAAGAGCGAGCAGATATGATAGACGTAGACAGCGGACATGCTGCCAAACTTCTAGAATCCATAAAAGATTTCTGAAGCGATTGTTGTAAAAAAAAGCTTAGGAACTATAAGACTTTTAAACAGTTCTATAGCGAACATTCGAATAATGGATGAAAGCCATACCTGGTTGGCACAGATTCTGTGACTGCCCCGACACATGGCGAAGTCGGCATCTCCTCATTTTCGTCTTTTATTGCCTTCTCAATCGTGTTTAGTCTAACATTATCGGACGCTTCCTTTTTCACAACTATGTTCGCATCTTAATGAATGCATAGCTGGATCTTATACTCAGAGAGCACAAAAGTATATAATCACTGAAAAGAAACAAAGCTTACCTGATTCGTGGCATATGAAACAGCTAGCAATGCTCAACCCTGAAATATGCTCTTTAATTCGCCTGTCACCCAAAGCCTCACAGAAACTGTTATCAAATCTCAGCTCGCAAAGGTGATAGAGCTGATCTGATCATGCTCAATCTTCACACATTCTATCATTTCGCCTTTATGGATGACCAAATAAACTTGAGTGGAGTGAAGGCCTGCTCCCCTGTCGGCCCATGTTGAATGATAAATTAATTTGAATTGACAAATTTTGGATTCTTATTAGACAATAAACGCAGTTTGAATGCTTGGCCAGTGAGGAACTGATTAAAACCTTTCGCGTTAATTTCTTATTACAGTTGTTCCACGCCTAGCGGTTTGAATTGGTATTCGGTTTTGAGAAGTCACTCGAGGAATAGCGATGGCGTAGGGATAGCAGAGTGGTTATGCATGTAGATTCAGTCCTTCCAGAAATACCACTAGTTCGACTTTGCGCAGGCAAAATACATGCCCTGCACAAATTGCAAAAAGGGGGGACGGACTAGGGCAAGGCCCAGTCGAGAGGACGGCTGATTGTGGAACCCAGTTACTACAAACATGTCTGAAGACTCGAAAGAATTCGGCAGTGACAAGGCTGGGACGTCGCCCGAAAGTTGCGCACAGAACCTCCGCCAGAGCTCTATGGAGAGTACGCGAGGGCTTTCGATAAGTGGAGGTCTTCGGCCAAAGGAGTTAATTCGGACTGGGACTTTAAAACAGGGACTACTCACTGGGAAGTCTGGCGAAAATGCTGACTTAATGAAGCGCAAAACATCTACGTTCTGCGCCTTCAGTATGTAGTTGCGATATAGAGGCGCATAGGCCATAGGTCTCGGAGAGGGTGTCAAGCTCTGTTGCAACGGGGAACGCACTGGAGGAAATGGTATGGCCATAGCAGTAGCGCACTTAGAGAATCTACCTCCGCAATCTACAGTATCAACGGTTTAAGAATAGTCATGAATGAGGGGCACTGGACAGTGATTTCAGTGTACGCACCACAAGCAAGCTGCCCGAGCGCGAAAAAGATTTCTATATAAGCCTTGGCGATGCTACCAAGTCTGCTCCAGGAGAGGGCGACCTCACTATGGCTTGTGAACTGAATGTCCATGTCCACAGTGAACGGAGGGGCCAGAAATTGTTTCATAGACACTAATGAAGAATGAATGAAGAGTTGCAAAAGTTCATCACACCGTGCATTCCGATGACTAGGGGACTATTGGCGCACACATCTAGCGTCAGAAGGCCGCAGGCTTGCCGGTAACATTAAGCCAAAAATCTGAATCGAGCAATTGCTACGATCGCTTGTATTATGTGATAACAGTACGCCAGATATCAATTCTGTGAAATGAAGGCACTTCTGGATTTATTCAATTGTAACTGTGGAAGGGACTATTACACTGAAAAGAAGAAACCACAGACTATTCGCTCGTCCCATTCAGGGGACTTATTGTTTTTCGACAGTATATGGTGTCAAATGAGCATAAATATGGTGTAATGATTTTCGTTTGCATAGGAGTTTACACACGAAGATGAATGATCTACGTGGGCAAGACTACACGTAACGGGCCACAGATGTTCTCCGATGAATGGTCCCTTAGATAGTGGCCAGCAGCTTTGTTGTGATAACTGGTACAGCTCGATTGGAATAGCCCAAACTTCTAGGAAAAACTCTTCTAATCGCAACTATCAGAAAAATCGTAGAAGGACTACAATGTTTGCCAAAAATAAATCGAAGGGGCCACATTGTCTACAAAATGAGATAGGTAATATTGTACCATTCGGTTCGCCCGGCTGACGTCGGGCTTTCCTCATTTTTTTGTAAAGTTGTAGTAATCACCCAACCCCTCGCTCCGTTTTTGGAAGAAATTATATTTTTCTGAACATTAAATTCGACACATGCATCGCAACTCTGGCGCAGGACGCAAAAGTGTAACACAGAAACCAAAAGGAGGAGAGCTCTACATAAGAAGAGTCGCTCACGCGCTCACAATGCGAAACGTATCTATCCCACTGACTTCTAGCAGACTCCGCTTTCTGTTGGTGAGAACGTGGTCGATTTCGCTGCGAGTCGCTGCATTGAGGTTCTTTCATCACCAACGTCGACCCTCGTTTTTCACGGACGAGAGGTTTCCGTGGAATAGGATGCATGCTTCTAAAAGGGCCAACAATGGCTCTCCGTTTTCCTCCGTCTCTCCGATTCCAGGTGGTTCAGTGCGTGCTGTCGCCGGTCTTTCTTCGTGAATGATTGCGTTGAAGTCTCCAACAACGTACTTGTAGTATGAACGCTCAATCTTTGAAATCTTCTCCAGTTCCTTATGAAAGGAGTTCTTTTCTCCGTCGATTGCTGTTGACGTTGGCGCATAGCAGTAAATAATGCTGACGGTGGTGTGCTTGTCGATGCGTAGGCCGAGAATGGCCAGCAGCGGGCCTAGTTCCTCGGTGAGTCGACCGGATGTTCGTTCCGCCGACTGAGATTCCGACACCGCCCACGTTTCTTCCATCGACTTCCACACCTAGAAGGTTGCTCGTCGGCCACTCGTTAGAACACATGTCGAAACACCTTCTGCTAAAAAATCCCCGAACATTTCGTGACCGGTCGTGAGAAGCTTTGTCTTGATGAAGCGGTGAACTGGAATTGTTAAAGGTTTATCTGGTAGGCAACCAAAGCTCTGAACGGTATTTACAAATGTTGTTGAGCATGTCATCTATCAAATCATCTATCACCACTATCGAATGTCTTTATCAATGAAGCTTCCTTCTTTACTGATATTCCGTTGGATGGGAATCCAAGATTATCAGCGGTCGGATAAGTTTCACCAAGAATGATATCGGAGCGAAGAGAAACAGTGACTCTTCATTGAGTTGCAAACTTTCATTGAGTTCGTAACCTAATAGCAAGAAATGAACCAATTCCTATTTCCTCAAAAATTAGTACTCTTGGTCGGTTCCCATCACTGCGCTTACCTTTCTTGTCGAATGGAACATATCAAAAAGTCAAAGCTAGATCGTAAATAACAAAGGCGTTGGATTTAATGGTGAGTGGATCTTACTGTCAGGCCTCTTCCATGGTCAGTGTTAACACGCTGCCTCCTCTACTCCACTGGAGAACCTCGCCCCTTGAGGGCGGAGTCTGGTTCCTTACCCACCATAAGTGTTCCCATCCTGCCATCTGTACTCCTAC